TCGCAACAGTTTGCAGTAGACAGTATCATTACATATAAATGAGAGGCGATTACGATAAAGTCCAGGTGTTCCCAAACTAGCTTAGGAATGTATACTCAATGCTGGTAGTTACTCCTCGTTTTCTACATTGGAAATCGTTATATTCATGGTTGTAATACGTCTTGCTCAGATCTTCTAAAAGAATAGTTAGGGCGCGAGGATATAATTGTAGACATACAAAGTTCTAACATTCAATGTAAAATAATGAGAAATATAATGCCAACACAAAATAAGAAAGTAACTAAATACTTAAGACACAATATTTTTACAGAGAGCCTGGCTGATGAGAAATAACTACTCAGAAAACAGGATGCTTTGTACCATCATGGATGGAGAGTCTCAACATCAGGAGTTTCACAGGGAACGATCTTAGGTCCGCTCCCGTGTTTGGTCTTCATTAGGGACCTGTTAGAAAAGATTAGCTCGGCGGCGCTGATCTATGCAGATGAAGCACAGATCTGTAGGTTCACAAAGAGTGAAAAGTATTTGTTTGGGCATAGGAAAGACCTTACAGCAGAAGAGGAGTGCTCAGTAGATAGTGAGTTGAAAATTAACCAGTCAAAATATCATGTCTAGAACACTCGGTCTCATGTGATACAAATCATCTTTACTATCTATCGAAATCCTCTACCAATGATCTCTTCAGAGCGTGATCTCGAGCCTAGGTACCGGGTCAAAATACATGGGGGATGCGGCCAAGGCAAACACAACTCTCCACTTTGTATGTAGACAAGTTAGCTCAATCACTCAGGAAATGTTTCTGACGCTAGTTAAAACGCACAAATAGCACCACCTTGAGGTTCACATTTTCTTTGCACCCGCCCTCCCTAAAAGAGATATAAATCTCTTGGATCGAAGACAGAAAGAAGTAACTAAGTTGGTAATATGTTTAAAATATAAATCTTACGAGGACAGATCCCCAAACCTCGTTCAGTTGCAGGAAAATATAAGGTGGCCTGATATAACCTACATCACATTAAATACTTTAGACCACCCCATCACGAAGATATTGCTAGAAAATCGTGATTACGCCGCTCAAGACAACGCTCGAGAGATTGCACGTCAAAGAGCGAACGACCAGGTTCTTTTTTCATGTTTTCTGACTAAGAGTTACCCCCATTTCGGAGTATTCACTCGGCCGAAGTGTCCATAGCTTCATCATTGGGTAGCTCCAATAGGAGACTAAAAACACATTCTCATCTATGATCTGTCACCTTCCTTACGGACGTGCTATGTTCAATACATGTTTCATAAATTACCACGGCGATCATTACCGGATATTAGTAAATACTTCCTACATTTCTCATTATCATCTCTGTTTCCCTTTCTATTCTTTCAATTTCTTTTCGCACGTTACTGGCTAATTAACACATTTACCATTTTTGGAAAACTCCTCTCTCAGCACTTGAATTATCGCTCTATTGTTTTTACAAACAACCAGCCACCTAAATGGTAAAGTGATGGCTACTGGTATCCAGAACCGCTACTCTTCTGAAACAAGCGCACTCACTCAAACGGCAGGATATGCAAATCCAAAAATAACTGACAAACTGACTGGAATTAGTACAATCGAATGTCTAGACTGTTACCATTGGACACTACCATAAACCTGGTACCATACTGAAACAACAGTAAGCTTGTGCAAAGAAATTACTTCGTCTATATAACCTCGTGACAAAGATACTGGAGTGCTTTCTGAGTAAGACACATATGATCTGGGAGGTAATAAGCCTTCTGGCATTATCTAGTGAGAACGTTAGTTGTAGCTGCACTGGCGACTTGGGTACTGTTACGAAGGATGTGCCAGTGTAGTAAGTCCGCTTACAGGATGAGACAAATAAGGAAATACAAAACGTAAACATGAAAAAATTCCTTCGAAACAGAGAGTGAAATATCATTGGGTAGCGGTGGTCACAACTCTAAAGTCGTGCTCGAAAACCCGGATAAAACTGTAAATGACGTCTAGTCGCGATTGACTATGATCACCATTACAGGAAGATTACGTACCAGGTATGGAGTTGGATCCCTCGGTAGGCTAAAAACCAGATGACTGTTGACGGTTGAAATAAGACATATTTGTTGGCGATCTCGTGGTATCGAAAGAATACCGAGACGTGCCAAAGTTTACAAGCGCAACTGTCGAGCGTAATTGAGTTCGTGCAAGATCACAGGCAACGGAAGGAAAAGTGTTTTTTGTACACTTAAACAAACAAGTACAGTAAAACAATCACTGGTACAATTTGTTATAATGATAATTGTTTCCATTATACCAATCGCGTTCTCTTCACAAAAGGAGGTCACTACAAAATCATCATCGTCCCATCAGGAGGAGGCCTTCTCAGTGATAGGAGACGATGGGTAAGGGTAAAGGAGGCATTATCAACATGGTAATCTATAAAAAGTAGTGTCCTTCAGAGTAAAATAATCGGGCCTTATAATCATCTTTATGCAGTATGTCAATGATTTACCAACAGCAACAAGTCAATCTGTTCTACTTTTTCCGATGACATGCAGATTCGGGTACCCAAATACTGTTTTGCAGTTAGGATAATATTGCAAGACGACCTAAGTTCGTTTGGTGGGCAGATAAATAGGTGGTCATTCGAAGTCAATTCCAGAAAGTGTGTGGTGATTCAAGCAAATAACTGAGACGATTCATATCACTAAAATCATTGAAATTTTGTTACTTCATGCAATTAACTATAGAGATCTGGGAGTCGTAATAGGCAAAGACCTTGGAACTACAAATAGCTGCAGGACTGCCTTGGCTTTAGGGTCTTATGAGTTCTTTTTAAGTCATTTCGTCGCTTGGATGACGAAGTGTTTAGGGTTTTACACCCTATGTTTTTGAGTCACTATCAGCAACATAAGGATCGAGAAGCGAGTCTCTGTTTCAAGCATGAGACGAATATGCTATAACTAGTCCGGAGGAGGTTAAAACATGTGATGAAAGGTTTCAGTAACCTATCTTATCATGACAGACTGAGACGCCCCGAACTACTTTTGCTATCTTACCAAAGTGATTTAATACTGATATACCGCACACTGAAAGGTGATTCTGATACTAATATGTTTGGTCTTTTCTATAAATTTAGGACCGGTAGTCTGTTAGGACATTCTGAGAAAGTTTGAAAACCGAGGCCCAGTACTCTAGGTCTGGAGTTCCGTTTCTCACATCGAGTAGTGAATTACTTGGATTCTCTACTAGAACACGTAATAGCACACGTAATAGAACACGTAATAAGCAGAGGAAAACTACCGGAAATATGGAAGCTGGCCCACATCACACCAATTTTCAAAGGAGGTCGACGCAGTGAACCCTCAAGCTACCGACCAGTGGCCCTTCTCTCCATACCTTCAAAAATTATGGAATCCCTAGTATTCGACGGCATACTTGATCACTTATCATCCTTAAAGTTCTTCTCGCCTCAACAGCATGGTTTCAGAAAAGGTCATTCTTGTACGACCAACCTGCTGACTGCGGTGGATAAATGGACAACCATCCTTGATCGCAAGGGGACGGTTGACGTCATTTACCTGGACTTCTCAAAAGCTTTTGATAGGGTCAACCATGCATGTCTTATCAAGAAGCTTGGACGATTGGGTATAAAACCCCCTTTAATTGACTGGATCACTTCATACCTAGAAAACCGACATTTTAAGGTCAGGGTTAACTTCACTCTCTCTCAGGCTATGGAATGTCCTAATGGGGTCCCCCAGGGTTCAATACTAGGACCTCTTCTCTTCTTGATTTATATTAACGATCTTCCTCAACAAGTTTCATCTGATTTATTGCTTTTTGCTGATGATGTGAAACTTTGGAGGGAGATACGTACTCACAATGATACACTAGTTCTGCAGGAGGATCTGACTCGACTTCAAAGTTGGGCAGACGACAACGGACTTACCTTCAACACTTCAAATTGCAAGGTAGTCCATCTGAGACATGTTGCAGACTAGAGTTATAACTTAGGTAACTCACCTCTAGAAGTTTCCCAAGTTGAAAAAGATTTAGGAGTGTTGGTACCCTACGACCTGAAATCGTATGCGAACTGTGACAAAAACGCCTCTCAAGCAAACATTGCACTGGTAACATTGAAGCGCATTTTTGGCCAGTTTGACGGTAGAACCTTCCATATAATCTTCAACAGTTTTATTTGTCCCCACTTAGAGTACGGAAACATAGCATTTCCTCCCTCCCTCCAAAAGGATAAGGTCACTCTGGAACGTATACAACGTCGAGCCAAGAAATCACTTCGGGGTCTCAAATTCAAACCTTATGAAGAGCGCCTCAAATCACTTAACCTTTACCCGTTAGAGTATAGGCGTCTTAGAGGTGATCTTCTTATGACTTATAGTATCCTTAATACTTCTGGTCATCCCCTTAAACAACTTCTTAAGCTTAGTCATAACACTAATCTCAGAGGTAACACCCAGAAATTGGAGACCCTACATAGCAGAACAGACTGCAGACACAACTTCTACTCCGTTAGAGTTGTCAAGTGCTGGAATTCGCTGCCGACTGAGCTAGTCCAAGCGACCTCCCAGGAGTCCTTTAAGAGAAAACTTGACTTATTCTTAAGGACTAAGGATAACATATTATTATGATTTACCAAATTCTTTTTTTCCCCTCTATTATCGTTCATATACCTAGGTTTTTGCCTGGAGGTATTGGTGATCCACTGCTACCAGACACGGAAGCCCGTTAAGCGAAAGCTTCTTCTATTCCGTCCTCAACCATTTGAACCATTTGAGCAGTAGCTTCCACCGATACATTCATAGTGAGATTAGATTCACACAGTACCACAAATTTCAAAGACTTACATGTTTTGATTGAACTCCTGTCGTTCCTACTTAAGACAGAAGGTTTAAGACTGAAGCCTGAAGGTCGTCCCGATAGCGCTTTGCATGAGGTGTTTCGAAACACTTCGCAATGATTACTTGGTGAATACGTGAGTGTCATGAGACCAAGGGTACTGTCGATCGGTGTCAGCACAGAAGCCTGTATAGCTGTTGATTAGTAAAAGGCTTTTCATCCAGGATTTTAATTTTTCTCGTTTTAGCGGTTGGAAAGGACTTATTGCTCTTGGCAGTTTCACCAACATACTTATAGTTGACCCTTGTTTCAGTAAAGTAACAAATTTTAATGGTTTTCTTAACCTAATTCTAGTCTTTGCAGTCGCTTCAGGGTCACCGCAATAACATAGTAAATGTTCTGTGGGCTCCTGAAAATCACTATCATGATGATAAAAACCCTTTTCAATTAAAACTTGCTAGTGTTGACGCGTCTGGAGTAATAATTATTTGGGATGCTACTACATCCTCTGCAACCTCAGAGTTCCGTGAGCCAGATTCACTAGTCTTGGGTTAGTTTTTGCATTCTGCTTACTAGTTTAGATATATTATGGCTACCAAATCAGTGGGTTTCACGTGATTTGTTGGCTGTTCTCCACTCTCACAACAGATTCATTATCTGGAACACACAAACTCAAACAAGATTGTGGAAGCACTCTTTTGGAGACGATGTGGTTTCTTTTTCTTTGGATATATTCTCTAATTCAAAGATGATTTGTAACTGATTTTCCACTTACTTAATAGAATCCTTAAGTTTGCTCAAAGGAATATTTCGTGGTGGAGAATTTCAACGTCACTTCGTGTGCCTTTGGAAAAGGCAAAAAACTGAACATTTCTGAGTCTGGTTGGTTAACACTACATATTGAAACTTATTGTTAAAGGTAGCAACAAGTGTTTTATTAATGAAATAAACTCACGTGGGACAACGTCAGGAGAAACGCCAGTAAAACTATCGTCTAGTGAACTAAAAGTCAGTCTTGGGAACTCTGACAGGTATTTAACAAATTATTTTGGTTTAAAATTAAATTTTAAATGACCTTTAAGTAATATTTCTGGTTGGACGACTGCTCAATATCATCAGTTGTCACATAATGAGTATTGGTCATATCTGGGCGTATGTATGTGTGCTTAGCCACAGAGTTGTGATAAGTAGCATTGGAAGCTATCACATACTAGTTTGAGAGAAGCTTTCGTAAAATTACCTTGAAGTGTTCTGAGCCCTACTGTAGGGGCTGACGGTATGTCAAGCCCATGTAGGTTGTTCTAGCTTCTGGACAGATCAATCTACTCATTTTTTCTTAAACCATATTTTGACCTTTTCACTTATTCGCTTAATAAACCTGACTTTTTTATATTAGCCTGTGTGTTTACACTTCTTATCTTATTCATCACATGTCTGTAACGTATTTGCGTTTGACTATAAATATAAGCAATATAAAAAAGTGAACGTAACCTCTTTAACTGGAGGAATTTTTGGTTGTACCTTTGCTAACTAAACTGCTCCTCCCATTATTATTATTTCACTATTATACACCAATTTCTGCTCGTCATTGTTCCCCTTTTCCTTATACTGAACTTACATTCGTCATCTCTCCACATTCTCATTGTTATTGTGTGATGCATATGTATCTGGTGGTTAATGTTAAATACCACTCACTTCAAATCATTGCTAATCTGACTAAATAAATCATATGAATAGTAGTGTATTCACATGCCGTTTTGATTAATTTTGGGGATTACATAAATCCTTATCACCACGCATTTTTCTCTTCATGTGTCGTCAGATCCGGGGTTTAAGCACCAAGTACAAGTCATTTAAACACTTTGTAGACATAACAGTAAACTATTTCTACTGATATTTTTTTCTATGTACACTTTAATTAAGTCATTTAATAGGTACAGATTTATACATCTGACTTCAAGCCACATTCCAAATGTGAGTGCTAGTGATACTTCGTAGTTCACGAAACAGAAATAAATAGGTCCGGATTCAAACCGGGGACGTAGTGGGTGAAAGTTGAATGCATTAATAACTAGATCACTGTTTCATCAAACGAAGCACGAGAGTAATTTGAAATTTCGAAGTTCGTCATTCTGTCTGAAATTAGTACCAGGTAGAACAGTTTAATTTCATAACATCTGCGTCTCATTTGCCTTTAGGTTTCAAATAAAGATTTCTGCGGTATCCATAAATAAGTTGTGATTGGTAACGGAAACAATTCCATTATCAACTTCATAGAAAGATGCTATCAAAAGCCAACTTGCCTCCTCTTCTTAGTGTTAAGTACATAATAGAAGAAAGTATATCACGTTCTTAGTTGTGCACATCTGTCAAATATTGTCCCATTTTTTTATTGTACTTGTAGAAATATCATACGTGAATATTCACGTATTAAATAAACCTTACTGTGTTCATTTTAATTCAAAGTTATTACTATTTCAATTTTTATTCAGGACATGTGATTCTTCGAGTGATAATGCCCGAATAACATCTATTAGAACATGTTTGCAAGTTACTTACCATCGATATCACAAGGACTGTGCGTTGTTTGTTTTTAGGAGGGAGATTATTATTGTGAATCTGGGACTGGTCCGCCCACTTCATGTTGTTTCTTTAGACCCTTCTTGGCCTTCTTTCTCACGTGTAAGTCAGTTTAATTTATGTGTATTAACGATGTTTAAGGTGACCTTTTAGTTTCATAGTTTTGAGGCAGATCATTTCTAGGCTCCCATATACTTAGATTTCTCCCATATCTTAGCATAACCCCTCCAATAACCGTAATTATATTTTACGAAATGTCAAACATCTATTATGGTCCCATCCTTTTCAAATGCATGAAAGTTTATCCACCGAACTCATTTTTAGTATTTAGTATTCGAGAAAAGTATAAATTATTGATTATTTCTTTTGTTCATCGCAGAAGTGGTAATTTTGATCGCTGAAAGAATCTGAGGTGGCTTTGCATAATCCATTTTTTAAAGAAAACAACGCACCAATACATTATTTTGTTGGCTGTTCATCATGCTTATCACTATAGAGACATATATTCAATACATGATGAAAATGTATGAATACGTATTTACCAGATTTCTGGTAATTTGTGATTTTCGTTACCTTTAAATGAGGCAGTCTGGATGCATAAGAGCAAAATTTCGTTTTCCGAGAGGATTTGATGTGGAAAGCATAGCTAGAGACTGTTAGAATAAGGAGTATGTGTAGTCATATTTATAAGCATACTTCTGATTTACAGGTTTATTCTTGCACTCAACGTGATGTCATCATTTGCCTACATGAAAATGGCAATTTAAGCGTATATGCTTGTCGTGGTCTTGCTTTAGCAGCGGATCCTTCTCTTCATCCCTCTCATTTACTGCGAAAACCTACTAAAGAATCTTCTGATCTCCACTCTGATAACAATTGCACTTATGTTCTTGTTGCAACTGCTGCTTCTTCTAGACGCCCAAAACAAGTACATCATGTTGATTTTTCTGTCAACCAAATGAATGAGTTGAATATCGTCGTAGCTTCAATTGATGGGCGTTTTCAGGTAACTCTTAATAACATTTGTCAAATATTCATTTCACTTTTAATAGCTTTTATTTTGTTATTTGACGTGTTGTAACATAATAATCCCTAGTCAGATCCTGTAAATCTAAAACCAAATTAATTTACGAGGCAGTTTTAGTTTCTTTTGACTCATCAGATGATTACTGCTTTTCTTGCAACTGTTCTGCCTATCAATTTTTCCAGTAATGATAAGATGGTTCGTGATCCTGTAATCGTAGTAATTTAGTGAGGATGGCTGAAACTGTTTCCAACATTGTCATTCTTTCATTGTTTTAACTGGTTAGTTAATTTGTATTAAAAGCGGTAGCTTAGTAGTTAAAACATTTAGTTCCTAACTTTTAGGTCTCAGGTGAGAACCCCGCTCCATCCACTTTGGTTTAGACAACCTTGTATTACCGCTAACACCTAAATAAACAGATACTTAAATCAGATACTTAAGTTTGTGCTTAGGAAGTGAGTTACGTAAATATAATTCATATTAAAGTGGGAGTGTTAGTACTTAGATTAATATACAGTTTTATGTGGAAATCACTTTAGGTGTTTATAAAGTGTAAAAGGATTGTGTTTAGATCTTTAGGCAAATAATTGCTTTTTTATTTACTTTAAGTATACAACTTCACGTTCAGTCCACTATCACTTTGGAGCTACGAGACTGAATTCATGTTATTTTTTCGATTGTAAAGTTGCTTTATAATAATTAAGCACATCTTTTAGCTTATAGCCTCTGGAAGACTGTAGATCCTGTTATTTATGTAAATAAGACTAGGTCTTGGCTAAAATTATGTACATACCATTATTCAGTACACACTAAACTATTATGTAACATCCAATACCAATATATAATGAGGTCGTGAGAGTGTATTTGTCATAGTGGTTTTGTCTCAATATCCTCTGTTAGTCCATGTGTAGATATATATCTATTCCTATATTGATTTCCAAAGTTTTGGCAACTGCGAGCTGTTCGAGACTCAACTCTCTGTGATGAGGTGAAACCAATTTGGAGCCTTTCGGATCTGCTACCCCATGCACCTGTTGTAGATAAGTGAGTAATACCTTACAGTATTTTATTTATACATTGATTACTACTCATGTTTTAGTCACCTAATATATAATATTAGAATATGTACTATATTTTTATTTTATATTTTATTTAAACACATAAATATTGGTACAAAGAAGCACCAGATACATATGCGCCGCACAAATCTCATTCAATTTACTTGAGGGCTGTGATACTGCCCAGGTGCCCAAACTGAAGCAGGTGGTTTTCTTAGGGGACCACACCCGGAGTCTTTGACCTAAAGGTCTAACCCACAAGGCAGCGGAGCATCGTGAGGAGATACAGTCCCATGGTGGCCGGTGATCAACGGTTGGTTCACACGCCATTTGTCCCCTCAGGATACGGGAGCCCATGTGGACCATTGGTTTGGAATCAGGGTTTTCCAACTCCTCGTGGTGGGTCCTCTGAGTCCACCAACCCGGTTAAAGAACCGGACATTCGCTTTTCGTCTTTTCAATTTCGTAAACAACACCCCCGCCACAAGAAGGCAGTGAGTAGGACTTCCCTGGCAGAGGCTATATACTCGCGTGGCCATGTGAGAGCATTTGGAGAGGGAGAGCGGACTCTCCCCACTCTCAGCCGTACCAGGGCATTTGGGGGCAGAATATGTACTGACCTCTGTAGGATAAGCAGACAGCACTATGTTGTGGGATTATTTGTTAGAGAAGAGTATGCCTGGGTTTCCTATGATCCTGAAAGATAAATACAAAATTACAACAGGTAGGGTAAGGTCACAAAACCACTTCTCAGCTGTCTAATTCCGCCTCTCCTCTTCATTCCCACTATTGATGAAATTTATTGAGTTTACCGAATCTCACGATGTACAGTATGTAGTTCGAAATTGATTTAGTATGATTCAATCGATAACTAGACTTAAAACTAATATGTGCAGCCCAGATGTAAACAGTCTATCCATTATATTCATTTTTGTATTGTTTGTTTGGATCTTTTCATTGATGTTCAGGACTGCAATTGGTCCGTCTCTTATTGTCATATGTGCGTCCTGTGCGGATTGCCTCAAAAGGGCTTCAAGTTACAAACATTATAAGTAAAGATAGATGGTCGCTAGCAGTAGAATCCAGGGTGAGCGTTTCGTCCTGTCGCAGACTCATCAGCTGGACGTACCTACGCCCCAAAGTTGATGTTCTCTCCGGCTATCTGGACTCAGTAGCTAAGTGAATAACGAGATAGCGTTTGAAGCCAACGCTACTGGGTTCGATTTCAGGAGTGAACACCAACTCTGGGATACAGTACACCCAACTGACGAGTCCAGAATAGGATGAAACGCGCATCGCGGAGGACAGGTTTCACAAGAGTAGAGTAAAACTGCTCTCGCAGACGCGTTGTACATCTGACGTTTTACAGCCAGACTAACATCACGAAGGCGCCGAAGGTGGCCTAGTTTGGCACAAGCTGTTCTGGCTTTCATTATGCATGAATCGATCTTATCACCCACGCCACCACCAGCACTTGTGCAGCTAACCAGATACACGAACTTCTCGACTACTTCGATCTGCTCACTACTCGGGGTGAGTGCAGGTTCAGGGTCCTGACAGACTTGTAAAAGCACTTTGCACTTCGAAGGTGCAAAATACATACCATACCTACGGACACTAATTGCCAACCGATTAAGTGCGGAGTGCATGGCTTGGGTATTATCTCACAGTAAGACTATCATCTGCATACTCAGGGTCGAAAGTGTTTCCCCATGCAACAGATCCACACCCCCATTACCTACATCCATCGGAACTGTCATCAATAGCAAAGTTGAAGAGAAGTAGTGAGACTGGGCAACCCTACCTAACTCCACTGCTTGAATGGAACAAAGGAGAGATAGTTGTATGCCCTCACTCTGCCTGAGGTACTTGTAGTATATAGGGCTTTCAAAATGTTAATAAACTACTCAGACATACCCTTCTTTAATGGACAATCCCAGAGAACAGTCCTGTCCAACTAATTGAAGGCAGCCAGTCTGCTCCTTACGAGTCAATCTTTCTCGGGCTTTGAACAATCTACGAAGTATGATGGAAGCCAACAACTTGGACGCAATGGGAAGCAGAATTATTCCCCGGTAATTGTTGGATATGTGGCGTATACCGTTTTTAAAGGTAGGAGCAACTAACGACTCATTCCATGATGCTGGAACACTCTAGTTGCCGGACCTTTGTAAACACCTTGTCAGTTCCCTAACCAAAAAGTCACCACCATTTTAAGAGGTGCGGATGTAAGTCATGCAGGCCTGGTTATTTGCAGTGCCCCGAAACTTGGACCAGTCGTCACCGGCCATTGAGGGCAGGACAATCTGATCGATGTCGCCAGGGCAGCAGACCAATCAACTGCTCCTCGGAACTTTGCTCATCGTTCAGGAAGTCTGCAGATGTTATTGCTTACTATCCCATCAGCGTCACAGATTGTTTCACTTACACCAAACTTCTTAATTCTTGGATGAGTTGAAAGACCTTCCGGCAGTTACCAGATGCAGCTTCTGCTTCCAACTCATTAGCACTCTACGACCACCAGGCTTCTCAGTCCTTACTAAAGCTCTGCCCAATTTCGTTACGTAACAGTCGTCGTTTGTGGTCAAACTCACGGGCTTCTGGAATCGATCGACGGGCTTCAACAAGTTGTTAAGAGCCTGAAGAAATCCAGTGCTTATAAGCGGGACGTTTCGCGAAGCCGCAAGCAACTTTACTCGCCATTTTCATGGCGTCGTGTAATTGCGACCAATGCTCATCTATACTTTTTGGTGGGATGGTAGCTAGCCTTGAACCTAGCTTGGTCTGATATTTAGTTGCAACAGATGCTGCAACCAATTTACTGACATCAATTCGTTGTCCACTGAAAATTAAAGTAAGATCGGCGTAGACCAGGGCATGATCAGAGTCCAAATAGGTACTCCAAAAGGAGCGGCAGTCTTGTGCACAACAACGCGATGTGATCAATCTAAGTCCAAGCCTGAGATGCAGAGGGAGGAAGCCAGGTAGCACATCGGTGATGACTATTCCGGTAGTTAGTGCTAGCCAAAACAGGTTGTAGTCTGTGCACAGTTGCAGTAGATGGTCACCTTTATCTGACATTCTACCAACAAGTCCCATTCGACTCTCTTCTGTGTCTAGACGCCTGTCCTGTGCATTCAAGTCTCCGTCTAGTGCTACAACATCTGTCGAACGCACTTTCTGGAGAAGAATGGTTAATTGGTGGTAGAATTCATCCTTGATTGCATCCGGGCTGCAATCTGTCGGAGCATAGGCAGAGATGACAGAAAGACATCGTTTCTCACGCCGATTTCTTCTTACTCTGATGGAAGTTTCTAATCTAACAGTACATAACCGACTGTTAATGGGGATCCAATCGATTAGTGCTACCTCAGCTATAGCGCTAAGCGCGACACCAACAACATCTAAACCAGAGGAAGATGTAACAAGGTCCTTAGATAAACTCACATGAAACGAGCTTTTCAAAGTGACATATGGTTAGCGGATTTGTGATACTTCACTAGAGTCTTGAATAAGGGTCTCAGGTAGACAACAGACATCGATATTAAGACTTTTTAAAGATCTAGCCAACCCTATATGTTGTCCGATCTGCATCAATGTGCGGATGTTGAAGGGAGCTAGTCTGAATGGTATACGTAGTTTCAGAAAGACTTAAAGTATTCGTATTCGGAGGTAGCACTCAACTTTTGATCAGTCAGTGATTCGAGATCGTTTAGATAGAATGGGGTTTCCACCATTGATGAGCTGTTGTTTAAGTTCGGAAATAAAGGGGAATACACAAGTGGCGCAGTATAAAAGAAATAAAAACGAATGTTATCAAATGACTATGAGTGGTATTTGTCTGAATGCGAGTTGAAGTAAGAATAATTTTCCCGGTAGTAATCATCATTTGGTTTGTGCGAGGGCAGTTGGTTTTCATAGGAGGCCACTCTCTAAGCTTTTGACCCACAAGGCAGTGGGGAAACGTTAAGAGATCAAGTCCCATAGTAGCCAGTGACCAACAATTGGTTTATACGTCTTTTGTTCCCTCAGGATCCTGAAGCCCATGTTCACCATTGGTTTGGAATCAGGGTTTTCCAACTCCTCTGTGTCCACCAACCCGGTTAAAGCGTCAGACATTCGCTTTTGGTCCTTTCAATTTCGTAAACAACACCCCGCTGCGAGAAGGCTGTGAGTAGAACTTCTTTTACAGTAGCTATATACGCGTGGTCATGCGAGAGCATTTCGAGAGAGAGAGAATGGACTCTCCCCACCCTCGACCGTACCTGGCATTTGGGGGTTATGAAAGTAGTCTTTTAAAAATAGAGGGTATTTATGGATTACCAGTATTCGATCATCAGTGGCTTCAAATTATGTATTTTAGCGATTCTTAGGTTAGACACAGTACTGTAGCAGGATTGCAGGTCAGTTGACGAGACAGAGAATCTTGGTCATCTGAAGTGTTTAGGACACGTATTACGTATGCCCATCTACTGGCTACCTGGACGCGTGGTTGGCTGGTGTAAGGATGTGATGGAAGTAAGCTAAGGGGTGTCCAAACCCAGAAGGTGCCATCAGTCCATAAAGTCATTGACAGTTGAACTGAGTCATGTAGGTAGGTGCAAACTATCTGGCTGGGGTCTGCACGATTACCGTAATCAGTGGTTTGGAGACGTTGGTTGATATGGCTCAGAATCGTTCTTAATAGTCTAAATGCATTCTCTTTCCTTCTCCCTTTATATTCAAAGTCCCGAAGTCTTTTTATACTTTCCATTCTTTCTTGACATAATTTTTTATAATACTATTGACAGTGTTACTACTTTTATTATTCTATCGTCTGCTTTGACAAATTTATCTCACTGTACTCATGTAGTGTGGTGACTTGAACAGATACACGTATGTGTTGAGTGGTACGTTACATATGACTGACTAGATGACTGAAGCCATCAATTCACGATTATTCGCTAAGAAATTTTATTCTTGGTACTAATCTTTTAATATCTACCGTAGAAAGATAAACACTTATAATATACAATCATGGACCTAAGGTGATCTGATAAGGCAGTAAAGAATGATTGACGTCAGATTTTCAAGTAAACTTTTTCCCACATATTTAGCAGATGATTAAATAAAATTATCTTTTTATGCGAATTTGTAAAAAGGGTAAGTAGATTTGACCATAGTGAAAGTTTCAAGGTCTGATGTTGAAATACTAACGGTTAGATTTTAAGGATTATTTTTAACGTGAGTTCAAATATATTTCATTAATTCTGGGTCAATTTTCGGTGAGTACTGCAAAGGAAACCAATAATTTATACTAAAGATAATTTAACGCTTAATAAGATTGGTGTTTTAATTTTTTCTGTAGGCCTCCAATAAAGTTGTATCTCGAATTAAATGGCTTATACTCTCCAAGTAGATCAGAACCAACACTGTGTCGCGTATGTCCACCAAATCTGATGGGACTTTCAATGTTAGATTCGATTCGTGGTCCATTAGTGGCTGTTGGAAATAATCGTGGTGATATTCAGGTGACTGCACTTTTTCGATTTTCGTTTCATGTACTTCAATGATTACTTAGCTACAATATTTTAATTTATGTAGTTCACGTTTCAGTATTTAACCAGTATCTGACACAATGCCAATGTACAATTTTTAGGAATCCTTTTGTATGTTTTTTTTTGACTAATCAGTGTTCACATCGTATGTTTTTAACTGTGAGGAAGTTACAAAATACTTGGGTTTCTTAATTGTCCTTTAACTTACTTACGCCTGTTACCCCTCGTGGAGAGAAGCTTAAGGCTCCCACCAGAATTCTCCGTCCAACCCTGTCCTGGGCAATTCTTTCTAGTTCTTTCCAGTTGCTATTCATCATTTTCATGTCTGCTTCTGCACAGCATGTTCTTTTCCGTTTCCCTTCAGGATTCCAAGTTAGCGCTTGCCTCGTCATGTAATTTGGTGATTTTCTCAATGTATGTCTTATCCACTTCCAGATTCTTTTCCTAATTTCCTCTTCATCTGGAATTTGGTTTGTTCTCTTCCAGAGTAGGTTGTTGCTAACGCTATCCGGCAAACGAACAATCAGTATATTGTGTAGACAATTGTCTAGAAACACCTGTACTTCTCATTGATGGCTGTAATAGTTCTCCAATTTTCAGCTCCATACAATAAAACTAACTTTTTTGACTTTCGTATTGAAGATTCTCACTTTGATGTTGGTTGGCAGTTGTTTTGAGTTCGATAAAAGTTATATTTAAACATAATTAGATGAGTTGATATGAGATCTATACAAGTTCTTAAAATTACATACTTAGTGTAATAAAATTATGTATCTACCATTTAGTTGACTATTTTCACGCTCAAATATTGATCAATATTTCTGTTTTTACTTTTATCATGCAAGATCACTAATTTATTATCCAGATACTGCCAATCATTGAAAATCTAATTCCTATTGTTTTAGTTTTATCTTATTTTCTCCATATGTAAAATAGTCCAAAATTCTAATAGCACACTATCAAACTGTTTATTGTTGTTAATAATTGAGAATACAGTATTTTCTTTTATTTTCCTGTTCTTCCTCTCTTGTCTTTCACAATTAAGTGAGCTCTTTGCCCATTCTAAGTATAATATTTTTTGCTTTCGGACCAACCCATTTATTTATGAAAGATGTTTTTTGGATATGATCTACAAATTGGAGGTAATTGTCATCAAAATGATAACATTTTAAATAAATGGAAAAAAGGATCATATAGTTATTGTAGAAATGAGACTATTGAAGAATACTGTCTGAATAACGCTACGATCAAGATAGATTCCATCCATCCAGAGGTCCATTTTATCATTTATGAAGCTAATTCCAAGATGATTTGAGGACATATCAAGCCCCGACTGTACCAATAAATTTAAGAGCAACAGTGTATTTTAGATATTAACTTATTTTCAAGCTATTTTATTTGAATCCATAATCATTACTGTCACACTGCATTGATATTGAAGCTCCATTTTGTTTTATAGCATTAATAAAGATAGCAATTATATTGTGACTAAATTATTATAGAAAGTATGGAATGTAAAGGATGTCATATCAAAAGAAAATCGATTTCTGATACTGTCAGCTAACTTAGCTTAAACTTTTCAATTGATGACAATTCGAGCTGGATACAAAATAGCCAATTGATATGACGAAAAGTCGTTGATCAACTAATTAGTTTGAAAATAATGAGCTAAATCTCTATCATGTCAATAATGATATATGCTTACACATAAGTTGTAAAAAATTTCAGTTTTAATGTTCACGTTTCAAAATGTTTGCTACTATATTTCCTATACTACTAAATTGTATTTGCTTTAAAAGCCAGTTAAACCAATTAAATAAATTGTTCAAATATGTACCGAAATTCTAAATGGTTTTAACTGGGAAACATTCATAGAATCTTGGTGTAGTATTTAATTTGTAGATTCTTTTTATTTTGTATATCTCAGTTTTATTTTAACGTTTAGTGTGAATTGCCAATACATTTAACTGCTCAACATTATCATGGTCATAATTATTATAATTTTGTCACCTTCAGTTTTTCAGCGTTATAATACTTAATATAAAGAAACGTCCATTTGTGTTATTTCTATTTCTATTTGTTATTTATAGATTTGGGATGTATCATCAGCTATATTATGGCGTGAATATCATGTACTACCGGTACCTATCAAAGGAATTGAATGGATAGCAATACCTCGAACAATTTATAGAAGTAAACAAATCAATGAAGATTCTTCGAGATCATCATCATGTGAATATTCGTTAGGTTTAATTGTTCATGGTTGGCAATCCAAAGATGGTCACCAAAGTTCTCTTTCTGAAAATACGTTAAATAGAACAAATACAATCGGAAAAAATTTTGTTACTACACTGGACTTATCAACAGGTTATATGCGTATATTTCGTGATACTTCAAATCAAAAGATTGACAAGACAGGTCCTCGCATAGGAATCAGTGTTCTCAGTGGTCAACTTTTATCTGGATCTAACGATCAAGAAAATCTTTTGGAAGGACCTATTGACATTCTTTGTGTTAGCCACTTAAAGTAAAGAATTGTTTATGGGAATCATTATTTTTACCGTTTCTGGCTATTATTAGTAAATATTGGACCGTTTTCATCTTTTAGGACTCATGCTGTATGTTTTTAAAGAGAAATAGATATCTTATTCTGTATATGCTTGAATGATAGAAGGTGAGAACAAACCTTAACGCTTTCGAGTTAGCCAGTATCATAGAAATGTCTATACTGTGAATATAAACCACGTTAACTAACTGGATATTAAATACGATTAATTAGCTGTTAATGTTGAAGTATCGAAGGTAAAGTTTAAAATAACTATCGTTTACTTTTCAAGTAAGTGGTAACAGATTAAGTGTAGTATAATATGATGTCAAATAGTTTGACTTGACAGTTTCACCTTAATTCTTAGAGTAGTAAAATTCAATCGGCAATAAGAAATTATAATCTTTGAGCATATTTATTTTGTAGTTTTCTGTAATTTAATCCAGAAAAAAAAGATGAAATCAACCTATAATGAACAATTTTGCTTTCTAAACTGCCACGCAACGTTTGTTAACTGTTGAAATAAGCTTCAAATTTAGTGAATGTTTCACTATTGTTTTATGTTGCAGTTACTCATTTGTTGTATTTCACTGTTTATTTATCAAATTATGTTGTTTAATTTCTGCAATTAGTCCTTTTAGACCAAATTTAAATGTTATTCAATAGTAAGGCTTTGAAGTATATTGTCTTTTCCTTATCTTCAAAAGTATACTTTTAGTAAATATGAAGGTTTGTGAGTAACACAATAAAGGAACGATTATTTAGAAATTAAAATACTTGACTCCGAATTTTCGGATTACAAACTCGTCCATTGCTCCACTTAATTCGGTTCGGGCACATCAATAGTATCACTAATTTTCATACAAGAAATTGTGCCTAAAAGTTGAATTCAGAAACTCCTACTTGGTTATTATTTTTGACAGGATGCAAAATGTTTGCTACTATATTTCCTATACTACTAAATTGTATTTGCTTTAAAAGCCAGTTAAACCAATATGACTGCCCATGTTATACAATGGTATATTTAGTTTAATCATAGAATTTTCCTTTCAGTAACGAAAACATGTTTCTAATAAGTGGTTTTCAATGAAACTGAAGTTGAATCATAAATAAAAATCCATTCAACTATGTGAAATTTTGAAACATTGTGTTCTTTGTAAATAATATAGATTATATTCGATTTATTTGTGGAATTATTATTAAGTCCCTTTCGTTTCAGTTCTTAACATTGGGTCTTATGTTTCATACAGAATATCCTTGTTATCACAGTATCTTTTCTATCATATCACTAATAATTTTGTTCAGTATTAAAAGTTAAATGAAGCAATGGCTTAATGGTTAAGGCGTTTACCGTTCGGCCACTGTCCCAGGTTTGAACTCTTCATCTACTTCGGTTTAAGCAACTGGGTAGTATCGTTGGCCCTCACACTTAGAGTGTGAGTTGTACCCAAATACCTGGTAAATGAGTTAATTTATTATTTTAGATGTTTCCTATAACTCTATGAATTTCAGCGGTGGTACTAATAGTTCGGAATAAAAGTATTTGTGAGATTACTTTTTAGATTTATCGAAATTATTTTTGACTTTAAAAATGAAGTTAAAATTTCTTCTTTTAAATATCTTTTAAATATTTCTAGCCAATACGTTGGCATAGCAATTCGTAAGAGTCCTGTAGAAATATGGAAATTATCTAATTCTTCTTTAATAGTTAAACTACCTCTCCTACCAGATTTAACAGCTGTTGCTTTGGTAAGTCACATTTATATTTGGAACATTTTAATTAATCTTGCTGGTATTTCAGTACAATAATTGTGTAGTCAATCATAATTCGTTTGTTTACTGATAGACAATAGTATAACTCAAGTGGCGTCCATTAAGACTCCACTTCCCTCATTTTTTCGGAAATGATATGTTAATCTCAATCACTACCTGAAGATTCACTTTTCATCGACTTAAGGTATACAGATGATGTATACAGGTTTTTGTGAAAGCGCTGACGAAATCCAGTTTTATAAATCCCACAAGTAGCAATGCAAGATTGTTTACCTGTTAAAATAATCGTTTAATTCTCTTAGATGTCTTCATCAATGTCGTATACCTTTCAGTTGTTGACATTCGTCTGTTATTTCATTCATTTCACCTTATTTTCATTCGGTTAAACAACTTGTATCTTTAACACTTATACAACAGTTATATTTTTACAATTTAGTTACAGAATTTTGTACATACCTTTTAAAATTTCCAATTACATAGTTTCTTTGTTATGTGTTTTGACAAAATTCACGATATTTATTTTATTCATTTCGTTTTTGTAGGACTGGTGTCATTCGCCAACTAAATATCAACAAAGTCGTAAAATTTCAGATAAGAGTTCTAAGTGAGTTCATTATTTAATTTAAGAAAAGGACTGATTTTTTTTCATTTCAAAAGATTTAACTGTTATATTAGCAAACGGAAACCTTCCATTCTGCATTCAATATACAATTATTAAGTAGTATTTGTAATTAATATTTTACTAAACCGCATCAAGAGAACAATATAAGTGTAATTATTATGATCAGGTTTAGGGTTAAGGTATTCTCATAACCTAAAATGCAGATAGTCGGACATGGGGTCTATTGTACACACATATGCACCGATAATATTATGTAACAATAAACCGTTGAACTTTTATGTCTTGGGATATGAGTATTACACTATTCAGTCATTGATTTGGAATGTGATGGTCTATCTTTCCCAACTTCAGTCAATGTACCGTGTGATGCGCTTACTATCCTATTCCACTGGTAAGCATTTCTTTGATTATCGACGTTTTTTTCACTAAAACTCAGGGGAAATTATATATATATATATATATATATATAATGAGGGACAAAATTCTTTTAATTAAGCTTGTTTATGAGAGTTCTTCCTTAAAACTACCACTACTCACTATGAATTTCAGGAAATTTTCATTATTATGTGTTACAGACTCGATTTTAATAAAAGTTATCCACATGTGAATTTGTCAATTGTAATGACTTTTCATTTTTTTTATAATATAAGATTGCTTTAAACAATGATGCATTGAGAACTGAACCATTCCTAACGAAATAGTACCATTTTGGAGAAGTAACATTGAGAAAGTCATAATGATAATAAGAGTGAAAATATTACGTGACACTATTCAAATAAGAGCATAATTAAGTTATATTTCATTCACCCAAAGATAGGTCTTACCATTTAGGAGGGATGCAATAGCAAACTACATCAGGTTAGGTATTGGTCTCTTCACTGAGGCGTGTCTGGTTATGTTTCTTGCTACCAAGTTATAATATGTTAAGCCGTTATGATGAACCGACACAACTATCCTTTATTCTTTGGTGTCATATTATGAAACAACTTTCCACTTTCCCACCTAGCCGCATTACCAGGCAATCATATTCAGCAGAGATGTCGTTGAAATAACATAAACGAAACTTGTCTCAACCACTGTCTCATTATAGTAACAGTAGCTGTACCATCATTTTCATAACACTTACACACATCAGGATTACCTACATGGTGTAAGCACCAGTTGATGGATGAACAATTTAGTAACAACAAATTATGAAACTTGTGGTTTATTACTGTTACACTAAGTAATATCACTTTAAGCGCGTTCAAAGGGATTCGAAGTGTATGAATTTTAGTCTTGACATTTTTCTAGTTTAATCTCTTGGTTCTGTCTAGCCGATTAATTTCAGTTCTCTGTATAAATATTTCGTTCTTTCTCAGTACGATTTCAGCTCTCTAAGGAATTGACTTTTGTGCGTGTTGATATGTATGAACGGAATTCTCAATAGGCAGTAATTAATGATACCCTTCGTCCAGTTTGATGCTTATACAATAAATTGAAGATGAGATATTAGCGAGGACGTAAAACGTGTTATATTACTAATTAATCATTAAAGTTTATAATAAACTGGAGCCAGAAAAAATATTTAGATTAGTGTAACTCACAACAGAACAAACTATACTTAAGACACTTTCTTGGAGCAGATTTACCAGCGCCATTATTGTCCACTGGAAACTAGATATTGTTAGAATTTTATTGATGTAAAGGGGAATGACAAGTCCTACGAATTCCAACACAACCAAATGATATTCAATCGATAACATATGTCATTATAAAAACATAAGTGTTATTGAAGCAAACTAAATTTATAAATATGTTGGGAATTGAATTTGGAGTTTATTATTTCTAAATTAAAAACGATAGAGGTATTCTCTTAATATGGAACAGGATCTATACCAACTAAATAGACCGGCCAACTGATACGCAACAATTCAACTATCATCCTCCACAAAATTGGAATAAAAGAAAGAGAATTCTTGTGAGGGAGATGTATCATCTAAGACACCGCCATCCAGGATTGAACCCCAAACCTGCCGCACGTGAACGCTTAACCTCTAGACCACTGGTCTGGGACCCATTGGTGAACTCTTGTTGTTTCAATAAATTCACAATATTGCATGACCATTTTTGTATTGTCTCCGGTAGACACTTTTATCATAGTATCACAGATTGATTAAAGTTAGACTTATACACCATTGAGTCCCGACTCCCTGATCTATAGGTTAGGCGTTCACTCAAGACTGAAGGTCTTGGGTTCGGTCTCAGGTGGTTGGGTTGTGTACGCTCCATTCATGAGTTGTTCCATTGCTAGATTAGAATAGCTGTTCAATGCTTCTAGGTTGCAGTGACCGATCAAAATTAGATCGGCTAGTGGTCTCAATAAAATTAATTTCTTTATGTAATAGAATGATATGGTTATGCATAAAATATAGCACAAAATAAACATGATAAATTTCTATAGATAGTCGGAGGACATTATTTTTTAGGCCACTCACTCCCCAAGTAATTAAGGCCTGATTGTTAGACATAGTTTTTGAGCATCATATCAGTGTATTTAGTTGTACAGTTTACTAACTTTCCTTGTCACAACTCTGCTTTAAAAAATCTTATTAGGCTATCGGTATCAGTATACAACAGTAGTAGAGTAAAATGACATGACCGACAAGTACCATAAAGTTGCTAACAAAAAGCATTTTGACTGTCTTTTTAATAGTCACTTTTTCGGGTAAGTAGTACAAAGTTGATACATGGTAGATGCGAAAATATACTTGTTCTTTCGAAGTATGATTATTATTTCCCAGTAAAATACACTTGTGTGTATGTGATTTTTGTGTAACATTGAAACTGAAGTACACAAAATGAGAAAAAGGTTAGCTACTAGTCGATGTATGACTTTTTTGTCAATGTATTCTCTTTCTAAAATATTGAATAATTTATTTCATCTATGTTAACAGAAATTCAGTCTATTTAACACTTTGTTTATATCTTTCTCTAAGACTTTAACATTGATTGATCAGTTTATAATTCAATAGAAATTTGGATCAATTCATTTAGATGGTATTTAGTTTAGTGATCAGTTTTGATTGTTACGTGTCACCTCTTTCATTGATTTGAATGATTATTTTTTCTACTAAGCAGTACCTGTACTAGATTTATTTAGCAATTTTTAGTTACTGCTTATGTAGTCATGAGTAAGTAATACAGTTTTAAACGTGTATGTTTGTCTTACACAATATTTATCTTCTCATTCTCTTATTTAAAACATTTATATTCGTTTTTTTGTATGTTAATTTAGATCTGAGGACTATGTTCATTCAAAGGAATCTGCTCGTACTCGTGAATCATGTATTTTATGCACTTCGGATGGTAATATTCGCTTGATTGCAGTAAATAATGATTCAGTAGATAGCACTTCAGTTTCAAATACAATGTAAAATACATTATTTACTAATATATGCTGTTAACCATGTTGAATAGCAACTCAAGCTTTTCATTAGGTGTAACATGTGTAATCCAAACCAAAGACATCATCATTTTAATCAGTTACTAAATGTTATTTAAGGTATTGGTACTTAATTGTGTAAAAGTCAACATGAGCTATCGTTAGGACTCAAATTTAGTGCCATTGTCTCCAAATGCTATTGCGTTGTTCACTTAACTGCTGGGTCCAGATAACCAGTCATAATAGCCACTCAACAACGGAATAATTCAAAACCGTTTCAAATTTAATTAAACAACTAGAATATTACACCACATATTGAGTCAAAGAGTATCTCGAAATCGGAGAGTCTTTATAGTGTGCTATAAGTGGGATTATGCGTGCTCATGAGATTGTCTGCCATTATCTTATCTCTATAAATTTTATTCTTTATGTCCTTTGACAAATTTTCGTGAAATAAAACACTGCTCAGTAGTTGAATTCACAGATACGTATTTGACTATCGATTGATCTGTTACTAATTTCCAACCGGTGCCATGTTTTTTCTAGGTCTTGGTGCCTGTTGAATTCAGTTGATCAAGATGCATTTTGGTTAATGGCTTAGAAGACTTTATATCGTGTTCATTATGTTGAGATGCCAGGTGGTTTCAAACAGAATAGAGTTTCCTGTCGAATAACTCCATTCGCCTAGCATTTGACAATATTATAGGAATTGCCATTATCTCTGTTTAAAAACACTCTAAATATATACGATAACTAATTAAACTTATCACCCTCTCGAGTTTGTCAATTAAGTGTTGTATGTTTACTCCACTCCGTCAAAAGAAAGCCGTAAACCAAAATTATTTACATCATAATTAAGTGTTCGTTCAAACTATACAATACATTTCATTTATTTCGGATTCCTTATCGTCCAATTTCTCGATTTCAATTTTTTTCTTAATAATACAATGTAGTGGAGAACTCAGGGTAGCTCACTTATGCATTCCACGTGAAGACTGGTGTCAGACAAGGCTGCCTACTATCTCCCATTCTCTTCTGGTGGTTGACTGGATTATGAAGACCTCCATATCTGACAAGAAGCATGGAATAAAATGAACAGGTTGGCTGCAACTGGACGATTTGGACTTCGTAGATCACCTGACCTTTCTATCCCATACACATCAACAAATGCAGACAAAGACGACCAATGTAGCAGCAGCCTTTGTATCAGTAGGCCTCAGCATACACAGAGTAAAAACCAAGATCCTCAAATAGAACACGGGGAACACCAACCCAAACACACTTGATGGAAAAACTCTGGGAGAAGTGGAAAGTTTCACGCATCTGAGTAGCCTCATCGATGAACCTGGAGGATTTGATGCAGACGTGAAGGCGAGGATTGGTAAAACAAGGTCGGCATTCCTACAGCTGAAGAACATATGGAACTCAAAACAGCTGTCTACCAACACCAAAGTGAGAATCTTCAATACGAACATCAAACAGTCCTACTGTATGGAGCTGGAACTTGAAGAAATATTATGACCATCATCAAAAAGGTACAAGTATTTACCAACAGTTGTCTACGTAAGATACTGAATTTCTGTTGGCCGGATACCGTCAGCAACAACCTACTCTGAAAGAGAACAAACCAACTTCCAGATGAAGAGGAAATTAGGAAAAGAATCTGGAAGTGGATAAGACATACATTGAGGAAATTACCAAATTACATGACGAGGCAAGCCCTAATTTGGAATCCTGAAGAGAAACGGAAAAGAAGAAGACCACAGAACACACTGTGCCGAGAATCGCAAGCCGATATGGAAATGGTGAATAGCCACTGGAAACAACGGGAAGGGATCATCCAGGACAAGTTTGATGGCGAATCCTGGTGAGAACCCTAAGCCCCCCTCGAGGGGTAACAGATGTAAATATGTGAGTGCTACGTTTGAAGAGATTATAATATCACTTAAAACTGGCGAATGGGATGAATGTCAATAACACCACTACAGGATAAGCTAGGCTATTCTACTGCACCTTTGCCCCCTACCTGGAGGGAGAAAACCAGATTCAGTCAAGAGAAGTGTATATTCGACAAGCAGTCAGGAGCACGAACGAATAGGCACACAAGTCAGGCGTATATATACGGTACGGCAATGTTCTTGGTAAACTTCACAGAACAGCATACTAAAAGGGGAAATGAATGAATGACATTTCAGGTCCTTCCAAGTGGGATGTACAAACTGAAGGTAAACGTTGGGACTTTGGTCGCGAAATTGAGAAATTCAAATTTCCAAAATAAATTATAAAATTGAGACATTTAGCTAATGATTTTTGGGGATCTGTCATCCCCAACAGTTGGTATGTAAGTAAACAAGCAGAAGACGCGCCAGTTAGTTGTTATTTTTTAAGTTTCAAATCATTTTACAGTTAATATGGTTTATTATATTTTAATTGATTACGTAATTTCCAACACATTTTCTACGTTTTTTATTTGTAAAATTATAGTTTAAGTGGTCTACCTACTGTTAGTTTAAATCGAATTAATTCAGTTGCTTGGTTCTCTGATTTGGTTGCTTTTGGCACTTTTGATGGCTTTGTAGCTGTTCGAGATCTACATAGTAAAAGAACATTGTTTAGATCAACTTGTTCAAAGTCACAATCAAATTATTTTGATCAAGCTCTTGGTACTTTTAATGAACAATATTTCGACCCAGATATAATGTTAGAAACAAATACTCCTGTTGTACATCCTTCATTAAATATTCGACGTTTATGCTTTACACCGGGTTTATCGACTTTTACTCGTCTTCTTAGTTTGCAGTTTGATTCCGTATGTGTTTGGGAACCAAGACAGGTAAATGCTATAGTGTATGTCTTCTTCAAACCACCGCATTCATAGTTTTATCTAATTTGCATTCGTTTAACTAATAAAGTGGAAATTCTTAGTATATACTGTCTTTATACTTACTGATTTGTTTAAATACAATTAAATTAGTTTACATCGTTTAATTTTCTTATTGGTTCATTATAAGACGATTGATAGAAATTAAGGAAAACGGATGAAAGAAAAGGTAGGTGAACATATGAAACTGGAATAATAAATGACAACTACTGTAAGCTCCCTATGTATTGAGAATAATATTAATTGGTAGCGAATAAAAGTAGTGGGTGAAAATATTCTGTTATTGTAGCTTTTATGCTAATATTCTTTATGTCCAAATGGTTTTTTAAAAATCATACCCGTTAGCTGAGTAGTCATTTTAATTCATCAAGAAAGAATAAATAACCCAGTCTTTCTAAAGTAACACGTTCCTTGACACAAATTATCCGCCTTTATGTTGCGTAGGTTTTCAGCATTTCTTTTCTCTTGAAAACCGTTATTTCTGTAGAGCGTTTGCCACTGAACTTCGTTCTTTTTTCTTTTTCTGTCATCCTGTCATATGTGTGTATCAAGTTGGAATTTCGATTCCTTTTCTTAAAGTTGGAATTGTCTTAGTTTTGCGTTCTAATGCGTGTTATATTATCGTGTATGAAGGCGACAATCTGTCAAATCATTGCTGTAAAGTAAAATTGAGCATATCAGTATTCTTATTTACATCATATTTTAATTTTACTAATCAGGTAGACAATACGTATGTGTTAACACTATACTTACCAATTACTAATCAAGCATAATCTTCTAATTGAAATTTTGTAGCATCTCGATGCATATTGTAAGCATTTCTATAGGGTTGAATGATATATTATGACACTTTATGTATGATTTTTCATTTCTTCCAGATGCTCCTTTTATGTATGATTGAATTCGGTGCATCAGTTCATAATTCCTCAATTTGTGCTGATTGGGTTTCTGTTGTTACTAAATCATCGGATAGAGCTTTGTGTATTCTTTTGGGTGGAGATGGTGCTTTACGACTTGTACAAGCTGGTCAAGCTAATTATGAAATGACAGTTGTCAATTATTCTAATCAATTAGTAAACCTTGGGAATACAATTTCTCGTGGAACTACTTTACAAGATCCAATTTCAAAATTTTACATTCAAAGTCCATTGCCTGACAGACCTGACATTCAAGGTATTAACCAATATGTTTATGTACTCATGATTTGTTTTCTTAAGAAACTATTTCAGACCTTTCATATCGAGTATTTTTAATTACATTAAAACGTATAATCGTGAAACAAAATTAGTCCATCCTTTGTGACTAGAAACCCTAGAGTTTGCCATTATGGTATGTTGTGCTCTCGCGTTTTAATTTTTTATCCATGTCGTTTGTGGGCCTAGATTAGATATTTATTATTTATTTTTTTATTTTAAACACATAAATATTGGTACAAGGAAGCACCAGATACATATGCGCCTCACAAATCTCATTTGATTTGTGTGAGGGCTGTGATACTGCCCGGGTGCCCAAACCAAGGCAGGTGGTTTTCCTAGGGGGCCACACCCCGAGTCTTTGACCTAGAGGTCTAACCCACAAGGCAGCGGAGCATCGTGAGGAGATGCAGTCCCATGGTAGCCGGTGATCAACGGTTGGTTCATTCGCCATTTGTTCCTTCAGGATACGGGAGCCCATGTGGACCATTGGTTTGGAATCAGGGTTTTCCAACTCTTCTAGGTGGACCCTCCGTGTCCACCATCCCGGTTACAACACTGGACATTCGCTTTTCGTCTTTTCAATTTCGTAAACAACAGTAATGCCACGAGAAGGCAGTGAGTAGGACTTCCCTGGCAGGGGCTATATACGCGTGGCCATGTGAGATCATTTGGAGAGGGAGAGCGGACTCTCCTCACTCTCGGCCATACCAGGGCATTTGGGGGCTAGATTAGATATACTTCCGATGACCATTCCTCCGGCCTTCTGGTTTTTATTGGAGGATTAGAAATGTGTGGATTTTATGTGGAGCTGTTGATGGTTACACGTACGGTATCGGTTTAAGTGAACTCTTTTATTTTAGACGGAAACTATAACAGTGGTTGTGTCGATGTTCACTCAAGTTTCTTTTAATCCATGTTACACGTGATGTTAAAGCGTTTACTTTTTCCACCTATATGTTTTTTATTAAAGAGTTTTTATTTTGAATTCCTTGGCTTTTCGCTTATATAAAAATCTATGCAAACGTTCGATAAGTAATTTACTTACATTGCAAGCAAGTACTTAAACTGATAGAATATCCTGTTCATCAACTGTATCTCATAGGCGCACTCTTTCTGTTTTTATCGTCGATTCGGTAACTATGCCAATGTTCACTATTTGTCAGGTCATTTACATAAAAACATAAGAAAATAAAATACAACGGACTGCTCGTTTAAGTTTTTACCTGTCACAACGATTTAAAAGTGCTGGAGAAATTCATGATGGTGACAGGTATAAAAATGCTGGTTAAAATGGGAAGGCAAAAACGTTACAGCGGAAAAAAGTTTTTATCAGATTGAGCAGAGTTCTGAGTACGAATGCAACAGACAAATAGCATTATCAATTTTAAAAGTTGTGTTTTTTTCTTCAAAAAATCACCTCTTTAATTACCCTTTTCTGTATGGCTAATTCATCTACATACGGATTAGGTTGGGTAATTACAATCTAAATATTAGTGTATTTATCTATTTCGAAGTGATAGGTGGAGGTTTGATAAAATTCTGCATTCACATAATCTAAACTGCATACGTTAATTAAGTATGTGGAAAATAGAAATAAACATGAAGCCTCATGTAACGTTCAACGAAAGAGAATCTAGGCAAACATCGTCCAGTTAGTTCTTTTACGTTTTCATGTCTTTCAAGCTTAGAGTTCTATCCTTATTCGTAAGATCTTAAGAATATAGAGTGGTGAATGAATTCTATGCCTTTTTATAGATAGCTCCAACTGAATCTTGTTTTTTCTTGAAAATTAGACAAGTCTTTATTAATACAATTATACTTGATGCAGTAATATTAGTCTATCTTAACAAATAGTTAAACTAATGGCTGATTCGTTTCGTTGGTTTGCGTTTCATTGTTGTTCTTTTTCAAGTTTATCTATTTCAGCCATCATGATGAACACATATTTACTTTTGAACTAAGAAAGTTTATTTAAGCTCTGTGTAAACCTACTAGTAAATTGTAAAATGCAACTCTTCATTTATGTTGTTAAACACAAACTTGTTCAATCATTTTGATAATGAGCATTTATTTAACTGTCTGACAAACAATATTATTTTAGACGTTCTTTACATAGGTATACATCTTAGCTTGGTATTTAAGTTGGTTTATTGTTATTAGGCTTTGTATATTTTTATTGTTTTCTATAATAATTCACTATAAAAAATGGTTGTGACTTAATGGTAATGTCGAAGCAATGCACATATACCAAGGAAAAAGACTGATAGGTTGTAGTCCTAAGCCATCAATAGGAGGATTCAAACAACCAATACAAATAAATTAAAATTCACCCCGTTGCACAAACCAATGACTATCTGGACTCAGTAATTAAGTAGATAGCACTAAGGGGTTTGAAGAAAACAGTACTGAATTCGATTCTTGAAGTAAACATGAACTCGAATGCAGGTGTATTCAGCTGATGAATCTCAAATAGGATGAACAGTACGTCCTGGATTCCATTGTTAGTCACCGTCCAACTCTGCTTAAAAAGTTCACTAAGGATTTGAGTTTATTCTCAGTTTGTTTACATTTAGATTTTTACTTTTTCATTTTAGATCCTGTTTTAGTCCCGTCGTTACTTCCATCCATCACCGCTTTAAATATTCGGCATCTCTTACAACATCAACCATGGTGTAAAAGGTCTCAAAATATCCCTTCATCTAAAAATGAGAATTTATTGGTTGATATAACTTCTAGTTCCCAAGCGTTAACATGTGATCACACCACCATAACTAATACTGAATCAGACCAAAGCTCTTATTCTAGTAGTGACTGTTCTCTTCTTGCTCCTGGTTTTGCAAAGATTCAGAATGCTGTAAATATATTCCTATACGGCCTCAAAACAAGGTATGCTTATGATGAAATTTTTTCCGCATTTTCATTTCTAATAAACTTTCATCTTATGTACACCTATTGCTAGATTAAATGATTTTGGGGAAATAATTATCCTTTTCATCGAATGTGTGACTTGATTTCTTCACATATACCATTAGTTGAACATGTTAGTCGTTTTAATTACAGAAGCATTTACATGACCTCTGATAGGTTGGTTACCGAAAGGCATATATCACTTGCCAAATTTTCTCTCTTATAGTACAAATTAGATATTCACATATCGATGAACGAGGATACAGCACGTAACACCTGTTGATCTTCTATACTGTTAGTAATACCCAACGTTCAAGTTAGGTGACATAAAAGCGTTCTTTTTAATTGGTAAAGTGCCAGCAGGAGGTTTAAGTAAATCATTTGACCCCACTATTGATATTTCCTCTTAGTACCTCTGAAATTAGCTGGAGTATATTAGAATGAATTGTCATGTCTCCGAATACCTTATTGTAATTAGTCTTTTCTTATGTTACGACACATAACTAAGTGTTATTTGGAGATTGCTAGAGTATATTTTCTTTTGATCTCTAGTTATTGCAGTCCTGTGTTCATGCAGAGATTACAGTTTGAATTAGTGTCTACAATCTTTTGGACTTCATGTCCGTCGTCGACTAGGACTTAACAAAAAGTTTTTATACCTAGTTGAAATAAGATCTTTTATTACAATTAGCCTATCTATAACACAATTATTCAACCAGTGAGTTTTTTGTGATATAAAGTGACTGATGACTTGGAAATGTGATATTTTGTTCAAAATCTCTATACGTTACATATGTTTAGTTTTGCTTCGGTTCTAGTGTGGTAAGTCGAAAATTCACCTACCATATTATCAATAGGTCTTTATCGAAATTTAAGGTTTATGGATGATTGCTTTGTGAGATATCGATTAAAATATACACCATCAACACATGCATTAATTTTTAATATAGAATCATGGATTATGACTAGTTTCTACCTATTTTTTGTTCATTTATCTGTGGTACTAATTTTCTATTCCATTTTTTAATTGACTTGAAGTATGATGGACCTTGTGATTTTGTTTGGAAATGGCGTACAAGATTAAATGATTTGTAAACATGTTGAAAAAAAGTATAAGAGTGTTTCTGGAGCAAGAATTAACTCTGTGAAGTTTGAACTTGCCTACTAGTTGAATCGTTTTGTGCTTATCAACTAATGTGGCTTTTAATTTAAACATTGTAAGTATACCGTTATGTTATTAAACAGTGTGTCACTTAGATTGAAACTGTCCAGTAAACTAAAAACACTATATAAATTTTTCTTAAAAATATCTCATATCCGTTTCTTTGTTCACTTACATTGTAGACATGAATTATCTACCAGTTTTATGAATCTCTCGAATACTACCATTATTGAACGTTGTTTATGGACTGCTCAATTATTTGGTGATGTATATGAAGCAAAATTTTGGCGATTGGTTGCAAATCGTCTACTACACAAAAAAGCTTTACATAACAATTCACAACAACTAAATAACCAGTTATGGTCTCGGTATTTTCTAGATTTATCTTGGGATTTTTTAGCTGACTGTGATTTATATCGTCAGAATGTTGAAAAGTTTATATCATGTATGGAAAAATCACATAATTCACCTACTGAAATTATGGATTGTGTTGATACACTAATTATGGTCGGTAAGTATTAATTTGACTAGGGTTTCGGTTCCGGTAAACGTGGCATCATAGACAGGTTTAGCGAAATGTTTGGAGATTTAGCTTATTGTCAGTAGTTCTCAGTCACACATGGATAATTGCTCCTATAAGAATATATTTATTATATTGTACCGAATCTTTATTTCTCGATTTTCACACTTACTGATTTACTATTTAACAACAGTAACTTGCTCGGTTTGAGAACGCATTGTCCATCAAAGTCTACTATCATTCTGTTCACATGACGGTTATTAGGAATTCCTTACATCTTTATTAATGTCCTTTGGATTAATTCTCTACTTATTATCCAGCCAAAATAGGGTATCGTAAGAGTCTTAGTAATCTTTTCCTGATTCGACATGTTCACAATTTGGTTCGTATCTTAATACTTTTAAAGTTACAACTGTCTTCATCGCATAAGTTCTGTAGGAAGCCGCCTCTATGTGGAAGAAGCAGACTGACAACATTTAAGGAAGATTGCATTTCTAATATTTATTAGCTACATCTGTATGTTCTGCCAACAGAATTAAACTGGTAAATTGATAGCCATTTCTTATCTCTGCTATATGGTCGTGTTTTACGAATTCTGGCCTAATTTAATCTTTGTTTATCACATTAATTGCATCACAGTTCCATGTAAAACGACATCTTAGTAGAGGCGTCCATGCTTCGTAACAGAATTGTGCAAACCATGTGCTATATTTATAGCAGCTTTTCAAAACCCAAATAAATAGTTCCATTTGTTAGAAATAAGCAACTCTCTCTCTCTCTATATATATATATTATAACAGGGGAATCCAGGACGCACGTTTCGTCTTATTTGGGATTCATCGACCGTATGCAGTTGCATCTGAGATGTTCACGTGAAGACTCGAATCCAGTTTTGTTTTCTCCAAACCCCCTAGTGTTGTCTGCTTAATTACTGAGTCCAGATAACCACTGGTTTGTGCAACGGGGTGAATTTTAATTTATTTGTATTGGTTGTTTGGTCTTCCTATTTATGGTTAAGACTGCAAATAATCAGGGTTATGATTATTGCAGAATTTCATTGATATCTCAAACCGATTTAAGTTAGACATCCAATAAAGTTCTGACAACACCGGATGAACATTTCTTCCTAGTATGTTAGTCCTCAAAATCGCGCTTCTACGACCCCCGCAACCTCATGATGTTTAAATCACTAAAATTGGTCATTGGATAGTCTACAGTCCACGTCTTAGTCTAAAGTGGTTCTGTGAACGTCATTCTAGGTTGATAAATCTACCATGATTATAAACTCACTCGTTCGATCCTGACTGGTCCGGAAATATAGTTTAACTTTATCAATCTTGCGTTTTAATAACCAAACTATTAATTATTTCAATTATAGTTTTAGTTATTATCTGCGATTTTATTGTGATTGAAGTATCATTAATTAATTAATTTTAATTTAGGTCAACAGGATCGTGCAGTTTCTTTATTACTGGAAACACCTGTAGATTCAAGTAATTATTCTATAAATATGTATCGTGCTTGCTTGTTTACGGCAAATATTTCTAGAAAATCTCTTCTATCCAAGTCTGATGTAAATCAACCTACAGAGGATAATTATTTAAGTGTAGTAAAATTAGTTGCTACAAATTTACTTTCTAATGGGAGAATTAATGACGGTATTGGTTTATTGTGTCTTATTGGCTTACAAGCTGATGCATGCCGTTATTTAGAATCATTCGATCGATGGGATCGTTCTGTATGGTTAGCTAAGGTAGTTATTTTACATATTTGATCGTTTTGAACCGTATACTATCATAGTTAATTTTATTGATACAATAATTCTTTTTGATGATAATTTCTGTCACATACTGTTAATATATTAACAATAAGAGGATATTTTCCTACACTAACTTAAAACTACTGAATACTGTTATTTTAGAAAACTGATCTAAATGCAGTTAGGTGATAAGTATTTCATTAAAACAAATGTTTTGTGCCTTTAACATATACTAACCAATAATGAATCCGCTAGTTTTGATATTGTAATAAGTTAACTCTTGACAGGATATACACAATTCTCCTGAACATTCATCAGAACATCAGAAAATTTACTATTATTATTACTGGTTTCGCACTATTTCTTTTTACTATATAACTCACATGTCTTTATGCATAAAATACAAAATCACAACTATATTAATAAGTGATAAATCTCAACAGACAAATAATTAGAATGTTTGTAATATAAAATCTAAACAAACAGATTTATAATGACTTGCTTACTTACGCCTGTTACTCCCAATGGAGCATAGGCCACCGACCAGCATTCTTCAACCTACTCTGTCCTGGACCTTCGTTTCTCGTTCTATCCAATTGTTGTTCATTCTTCTCATGTCTGTCTCGATTTCTCGGCATAATATGTTCTTTGGTCTTCAGAATTCCATATGAGGGCTTGTCTTGTGACACAGTTAGGTGATTTTCTCAATGTGTGTCCTATCCACTCCCATCGCTTCTTCCTGATTTCTTCCTCTACTGTAAGTTGGTTTGTTCTCTCCCATAGTAGATTGTTGCTAAGATTTATAATTAATTAACTGTAATTTCTAAATATCAAAATATATTATAACATTTAATAAGTCAAATGAAATGAAAGTATAATGAATTGGTTATATAATAAATACAATATTAAAAATATACTAAGTAATTTCTATTGCAAAATAACTTAGAAAAAGTTTCACATTTTTACTAATTCGTTTATCCTCTAACAAAATACCTTTACATGAACTCACTGAATCTTTTTGTTTTTCGTTGACATTATTTAATAATGATAACTATGTTCAGATGTTTGTCTTGAGTCACGTTTTCTAATCCTGGCGATTATTTGATCTAGTTCATATTATTATACACTAAGTTATAGGTTTTATTATAAAAAGTTACAGTGAAAACCAATTTTTTAAAATAGATTTTGAAATGAGTAGTGGGTATTTCGTTCGAGTTCAGTTGTGATATTTCAATTACCTTGAAACATTAGGTTCGGTGGATTGAACATGTGTAAGAAATTTCAGCCCAACAGCTTTTTCTTAGCACATTGATTCCCGACTTTAGGACTCGGTGGAAAAAGGAAGAGGTGGAAAGTTTATAACTTGGTACTTGGATATGATAGAAAACTGTGTAGGACTTGTATCTTGTAATTCATCATCACTCTCTGGCTGGGATCCTAGAGATGAGGAAACTCAGTAGTGATGTTATTGTACTTCTTTTTACAATCATCATAAAAGTGAGAGTGACTCTTTTAATTGAAAATATTTTTTATGGTTGCATTTCCAACTGAACCATATCTCCTATCATGTACTGTTCTCTATCACTGATTTATTTGGTAGTACACCCTTCTCCTTTTTTACTCGTTCATGTTATTATCATTGTATTTGGGTGCCACTTTTCTGTCGTTGGTACACATTTTTACCAGAATGTATGCATATTGAACAAAATAGAATATTATATTTATTACTTGCTTATCACTAGACTATCATTTTTTCAGTTATTGTGTTTCTTTTCTAGTGTCTTTCATCATTTACTATTTTCACTTCTACCCGCCTTTTTTCCAGTGTACATTATCAATTGAAGAACATGATAAAGTAATGAGACGTTGGGCGTCCTATTTAGCTTCACCTCAGGTTAATCGTAAAGTATGTCCAGATTTGTTTTCAATCATTTATTTTCATTGAAATGTTTCTTGACAATTATATATTTCATTGTGGCATGTCCATTTAGGGTGTTTCAATTATATACTCATGTTTAGTTAATTTTCCCTTCTGTTTATTATATTTGAGTGTCGAAAAGTAGTTATTTTCACTAAAACACTTTTTTAATCGTTTGTTTTCTATGGATATTCAAATATTTATTCTCATCTTTTAATATAGGATGATAAAAAACAAAATGACACATGCCTAGACATCATTACTTTTCCCTAGTATTTGCTTCAGTAGGATTACAAGTATTATGAATGTGTTGGTGATCGTTGACTCGGAATGTTGAAAAACTAAAGCGCTTATTTATTATTAGCATAATATATGCGTAAATACCTTAGGTTCGATATGTTTGCTTGTGTATATCAAACATTCCTCTCTAGGATTACATTTCCCCTCCGTCTGTATGCACAGTCTTAAAGTGCTAATTGATGAAATACAATGTTTAGTTCATCGTTCTTATATCGCTTACTATCGGTCTTCTACGTTTTCAATAAGGGACTATGTGTTTATATAGCTGAATCAAGCTCTAAGCTGTAAAAATCATAATAAATGTAACTAAACTTAAAAAATATATCTCGTATATTATTAAAATTAAGTAAATACCACCTTCGTTTATTTATGTTTCATTGATAATCACCAACCTGAAGTTATGGCAATGCGTAGTATTGTAGTATACACCCCTTGTTTATTTCCTTTAACTATTCGGAGTTATTTCAAAGTTAATATTTCAAAATAAAACAAACAAACAAAATACTATCACTTCAGATGTGTGTCTAATTGTTATTTGCGTGTCATAAATAATGTTCTCATCGGTTAGTAAATCATTAATAAAACATGATTTACAATTACTATTCACGAATTATTTCGTCATCAGTGCAGTTGCTCATCACCTTTATGATTCATGCAATAGTTGTACTACCTATTCATTGGTTGACTAACGACTAAATGGCAAAGGATAATTCTTGTTTTTATCTATTAAAATAAACATATTTCAAATCTAAACTTGAGTCTATATTTTTCGGATTCTTTTGTTTACTTTACAACCATAATCTTTTCTATACGTAGAGTATCCTTCTAAATTTGTAACTGTGACTAATTATTTTAAAAAAATTATGACCATTAGTACTCTGGTGTGGGATACTGATATCCACATAAGTAGTATATGGTGATGGTCGAGCATTGAATGTATTTCAGTAGAAGGTCGATAAGGAGAGAACGGGAACGGCATGCAATTGATACAAAATTGCATGAACAATCATAATCGGAGACTATGGACGGATATTTGCAGAAGAAATAGTCAAATTGAGACAATTGATTGTTATTTTGCAAATTAACTGTTCACTATATTGTTCTCATATTTTAATGAGATATTGTGTAATGTTGTGCTAAAATACATTCGATTATCTCCACCCGTGTTCTTGTTCACCACAGTACTAGCATTTCTTTTAGATTTTCAACTTCAATATTTCAGGTGATCAACATCAGTTTAACACTTAAATCTCTTTACTTTGAGCCTATTACATTTTCGTCTGTGTAACACCAATATAAACATAGTCTCTTACTCAGTATCAATAATCATTACAATCATAAGTTATACTGGATTTTCCTCATTGTCAAACCCCAATCTTAATGCACTGTTACAGATCACTGTGATTTATGTCAATGTATATGTATTAGCTATCTCTCATCTATAGTCCTTTGGACAAAAGTGTTACTATTATTATTATTAGCTTTCTATAGCTTATTGTTTATATTTTCAAGTCAAATCACTTAGCCAGATTTCTAATGTTTATAGTAACAATAATACGATTATTTTTTCTTTTCCTTTTTATATATACAACTTAAAGGATTTTGCTATACTCATTTATGTTTATTTAGAAGATCATTCTAATGTTTTAAAGTTACTTTTTAATCTTAAACAATATCAATTGGCAGCTAGATATCTGGAAGCATGCCGTGAATTAGGCTTATTGAATCCAACTGAAGAAACAGGTAAATATTTTGTTTTCTTTTTTTATGAACAAGACTTATTATTATTATTATTATTTTTATTATTATTATTATTATTACTATTATTATTCCATATAGAGATTTCATCTTAAAATCTTTTCTCATTCGTTTGGTGCATGTGTAGTCAAGGCATTAAACTCGTGGTGAACATTGTTTTTTTTCAAATTAGATCTTCATACATTATGATGATTGTTTAATGTATTTAGTTGTTAAAATAGTAGTGCCGTGCCTCGTTAATCGTTCACCTTGATAACCGTTATAATACCAATCTTAACAGTGAGTAAAATCAGAAGGCAAAGAGAAGTGGCAACTAAAGTTTATTGTTAAATGACACAGACCAGAAATTTACAAGCACATGAACGGATATCAGCAAGGGAGTAACAAGCAATCACATAGACAATTTATAGTCAAATTTGATGAGGGCACAGCAAAACCAAACAAAAGCTGATAATAGGATTTGCGTGCTCGCATATATTGGGGCGGAGTATGAGCCATCGAATGATGCTTAAACAATCAACATTTTGGCTAGAGTGCCATGTGCTCTAGTGGTCATAACAGTACAAAGATCATGTAAATTGTTATTATTCAAATGACGATGTCTGTTAAGTAAGTTAATAAAAAGGCTTAACCAAAATTAACCAATATCGAAATTGATTGTAGGCTGGTTGCTATAAAATAACAATTCATAAAAATAATATATAGTTTTTTAAATTTAACTCACTCAAATAAGGCAGTACATTTTTAGCATAGTGATCAAATTTATTAACAAATGATTTACCTTATTCATCTAAATTGTTATTTAAGGATCTATTATTGAAGAAATTAGTTAATATAATGAAATGGTTTCTTTATAGTTAGTTATTTACTACTTCTCATTAGCATATCATTCTTTTCATTAGTCAAATGAGATTTGTGTGCCTTTTCTAACTGTTACGTAAGGAAAAATATATTACTTACTTACCCCTATTACTCCCAAAGAAGCATAGGCTGCCGACCAGCATTCTCCAACCCACTCTGTCCTAGGCCTTCTTTTCTAGTTCTATACAACGTTTGTTCATTCTTCTCATATCTGTCTCACTTTCTCGGTGTAATGTGTTCTTTCGTCTTCCTCTTCTCCTCTGATCTTCAGGATTCCATGTGAGGGCTTGTCTTGTGACGCAGTCGGGTGATTTCCTCAATGTGTGTTTGATTTGAGAGTTTATTATATATATATATATATATATATATATATATATATAATTTCCTTTAAATTTTTTTTCTTTTAAATACAGAATCATTTTACGAATCAATATTTATGGAATTTGGTTCATTTCTAATAAAACTTGGTCATCATGAAGCTGCTATGTATTATTGTAATTTAGCTGGAAAAATGGCTGATTCATTAAGAGCTGAAATAGATTTTCTTTTGTCATAGAATAAATTTTTGAACTAACCACAACAACAATCATGATCATTACTGAAACTTAATAATAATGAGAAACCAAACAATTCTGTTTTTCTCAATTTCTTAACCTCATATATTTTTTCCCGTTCATTCCTCATTTATTTTACGAGTTGATATTGTTTACTGTGATAGATGGACCTATATATATATATATATATATATATATATATATATATATATATATATATATAACGAATCATTTGACATGACTAATATTATATTCCGTTTTGCACACTTTTGTACCTTTTTTTACTTGCCAGTATGTTTGTGTGTGTGTGTGCGGATAAATCTATTTTTCACTTTCTTTTGTATTTCTGTTTTGTTTTTCTCAGAAAGTATATTCTTCTCAAGTTTCCTGCTTACATTTCAATTTTGTTGTTTTGAATTTTGTTTCTATCATTGTTTTTCTCCTGTATTTTCTGTTTTCTATTTGTTTATATATTTTAAAAGAAAAAAAAGGATAATCATTTCTACGTATGATTTTTGACTTTTTGTATCGAATTTGTTAATATAACTGTTATTGCATGAAGTGTGACGTCAAAACACCACAAGTTATTTGAAGTAAGACACGTAAACTATTGGTTGTTGGCTTAGTAGTTTAAAGATTAAGCACTTGCTGTAAGTTTTGATGATCCTAGTTTCGATCCTCTATGGAGTTTATGGGTGGGCAAATTTTATGACGAGTCTCATATTTGACAAAACAGCTGTCCACTGCTTCCTGGTTTTGTGATGTTGTCTTAATTAAGTCGGTTTGTAGTTTCAGTAAACTTTTGGATTAGTTGTTTTCTCAGTGAGATCTCATTCTGTCCATAGTTGAGTTGAATGTTTTATTATTTTGTTCTTTTTTAATGATACAAGGATGCAAATTCTACTGATATCAACGTACACTATTAAATTTGTCAAAGTGAATTGTTATCATGTTTATTCATGTCGTGTAGATCTAGTTAGGGCTTTGAACTGAATACAAAAGTTTCATTTATTAGTTCATCTTTGACTTTCTAGAGTTAGAGATGTATAAGCAACTTGGTGAGGACAATTTTTGTATTTTCTCAGCAACGTTTTCATTGATCTAAAGCTAGACATTAAGTGCTTGATATGAAATAAGCAAATATTTTAATTATTTGTGGCCTTATTTATCATAAGAATCAGGGCTTTGATTATCCTAAATAGTTTCAATACTTGTTGCTTCTGAGATATTTTTCAAGTGAAATTAGAATTTGCCAAAGTGAGTGGTGTTTATCATCACCTTACATAGATAATACCTCTAGTACATCTTTAATTATAAATTCTCAGAAACGTGGATTTCATTAAAGGATCTAATTTTCGTGATTCATACTTTATTTTTTATCTTTGTCTTTATTTGATATGGTCGTTAGAAATGCGCGCCGAAGATTAAACTCGTGAGTATTGAACCTTCAGATCACTAAGCTGGCATCCATCAGCTTACATTACCAGCTTCAATTAATTCTTGATATTGCTCGGCCATCGTTAAATGCCATCAGTAGGTAACTGCTTATCAGTGCTACCTGGTTGTCAGTGATTTCAAATAAGTTCAGTGCATGATGTAAAATAGGAAATTCTACAATCTCTACAAATCCCCTACACTAGTTTGGGAGATCGTAATCGCATTGATGCTTACACTTTGGCCTGGTTTTTTAGTTCTTTGCGTTATGCTACTATTCATTAATAAGTAGTTTGTAATCAATCATTTATTTAATCTTTTCCTCAACCAGTGTTATCGCAGGATTACAACGAATCAATTTTTCTAACTGTTAATGTTATAATTGAAAGATCTACCTGTTTTCTGAAGAACGTGCCTAGTATATTTTCGCTAATTAATAACATTCTTGTTTGAAATGGAGATGTGACTGTTAGGTAATTTGTTGTAAATTCCGTGATGATTTTCTACCTCAAATATTCACTGACTGTGTTTGTGATCAAAGCATCTTTCAAAACTAAGAAAATGGGAATCACAATGAATGTTATCCAGTATTATGTACCCACCAATGATAGCAACAACGACGATAAAGATCAGTAATCCAAGAGGCTGCAATCGATCATTGTGAAAACCACCTAACAATCTAAAAGCCAAAGTCGGAGTGGACAATCGTTATGAAGAAACCATAGGACGACATGAACTGACTAGGAGAAGGATACGAGAATAGTGGCATTCAACAAAATGGTTATAAGCGAGACAATATTCCCACACAAACGCATACACAAAGATACATGGGTTTCATCGGACCACACCACGAAGAACCAGATTGATCATATTTGTATCAGTAGAAATTTACAAGGTTAATGGAAGACGTGAGAATCAAGAGAGGTGCTGACATAGCTTCAGATCATCACCTGTTGGTTGCCAAGATGAAAATGAAGCTAAAGAAGTACTGGATAACTGGACAAACAGCATTACAAAGGTTCAATACAGTCTTCATTCGAGATACTGAAAAACTCAATCAATTGGAGGTAACTCTCGACAACAGATACCAAGCCTTACAGGGTCTACTGAAAAGAGAAACTACTATGGAGAACAAATGGAATGGGATTATAGAAGCACTAGCTCCAACGTGTCACGAGGTTGTGAGCCGCAACAAGCATCATTAAAAATGAGTCTCTATCGGAACCCTAGACAAGATTCAGTAAAGGAAGAATAAGAAGACAGTAATTAACAACAACAGTCGACCAAGAACAGAGAAAGTCAAGTTACAAGCTGAATACATAGAATCAAACAATGGAGTGATGATGAGCATTAGAGATGACAAGCAGAAAAGTGTGGAAGACTTAGTAACGACAGTGGAAAAAGCTGTAAGAGAAGGAAACATGAGACAACTGTACATATTACACGACGAAAAAACTATCAGAGAAATATAGTAAACCAGAGAGACCAGTCAAAGACAAAGCAAGGAATTCAATCACCGGGATTTAAGAACAGAGGAACAGATGGGTGGAACACTTTGAGGAACTCTTGAATAGGCCAGCTCTACTGAACCATTCGGATATTGAAACAGAACCTACAGACCTTCCTTTAGATGTCATTCCACCAACGATCGAAGAGATCACAATGACCAACAGACAAACCAAGAGTAGGTAGGGAGCAAGACCAGACAACACACAAACCTGAGGCACTGGAGTCAGACATGGAAGTAACAAAACATGCTCCAAAATCTGTTTAGGAAGATTTGGAAGGAGGAACAAGTGCCGATGGACTGGAAAGAACACTTTATTAAAATAGCAAAGAAGGGAGTTCTGGAAAAACGTGAAAACCACAGTGGCATAGCACTGCTGTCAGTAGTTTTCGACAGTGTTGCTGAACCGGATGAAAGTTTTATTGGACATCCAGCTTTGAGTCCAACAGTCCATATATCGTAAGGATCTGTCATTCACAGATGAATTCGCTACGTTATAGATCATCGTTAACAATCAGTTGAATTGAATTTGTCTCTGTATTTCAACTTCCTTGATTGTGAGAAAGCGTTTAACTGTGTAAATAAGAGAACATCATGGAAACTTTGACAATATGGAGTGGGTAATATCATCATCATTATCCTGAATTCATACGACGGATTTCACTGCAAAGTGGTGCATGGATGACAGATGCGTTCTAGGTGAAGACCGGTGCAAAATAATGCAGATAATTCTAAACAGTCATCTACACAAGATACTGAATTTTCGTTGGCCGTATACTATCAGCAACAACCTACTATAGGAGAGGACAAACTAACTACCTAATGAAAAAGAAATTAGAAAAAGACGTTGGAATTGAATAGGACATACATTGAGGAAATCATCAAACTACATCACGAGGCAAGCGCTCACTTGAACTCCTTAAGGGAAAGGAAAAGAATAAGGCCGAAGAGCACATTGCTTCGGTAATTGGAGGCAAATATCAAAGAAAATAATGGCAACTGGAAAGAGTTGGAAAGCATCGCCCAGTATAGAATTGGATGGCGAATTCTGGTGGGAGCCTTAAGCTTCTCCACGAGGGTAACAGGTGTAATTAAATGAGTTAGTGTTTCTTTTATTTTCTGTAGTAATATCGTATTTTCAAACAAAAATCATCTCATGTTGGGTTAAACTCTATTTACAGTTAGTTTTCTCGGAAACTGTGCACATCACCTTCATTATGACTATTTCAGTATTGACAAGTACACATTATGACTGTTATTAGGTCATATTTCTTGCTTTAATCTCACCTTTTGATCATTTATTGTGGCAACTTATTCAAATTATCAGTACAGTTTTACATAAATAAGTGATTGAAGTATACGCTCGATTTCAGTCGTTTGTTAATCCATGATGAATCATTAAACGTACAATAACCGTTCAGTTACATTAAATCTAGTTTCACATGTACTGTTCAAGTTGACTAGTTATTTCTTTTTGATGTGAATATTTAAAATAGGGATACATTCTTGAACAGAAATGAAACTATTTAGCGACAATTATCACTTTGAAGTATATTGACAACCGCTCTAACAGAATCTCAGTTCAAATCAATTTTCAAAGATATATTGTTTTTTTTAAACCGTTGAGTGCCAGCTCAGTGGTCTATCGGTTAAGTGCTCTGGCTCGAGATTGGTAGGTCCTGGGTTCGAATCTTGCGAGGCGGGATCATGAATGCGCACTGCTGAGGAGTCCCACAATAGGACGAAACGGCCGTCCAGGTTTTCCGTGGTGGTCTAGCTTCAATTGATTCATGATCTTAACTATATAAAAATAAAGTCAGTCAGTCACAGCGTAGAACTTCGTACGTATGTACATCAGTTTGAGTTACCATACCACCTTAGCACAGAGATGCAGTTGTCGATTCAAATACCGTAGTGGTAGAAGTAGTATATGTATGTATGTATGCACACAAGTCTTAATCGACTTAGATCCAATGGAATAGATTTATATCTCATTTAATTCATTACAATAACAACAGTATAAATTCTAATGATATATATTGTATGTTTCAAAAACTTGTT